TAATAATAATAATAATAATAATAATAATAATAATAATAATAGAGTTATTTATATTTATTTAAATAGATTAGTCTAATAAATTTAAATAACTTTTTTATGAACAAAAGTCTAGTTTTTTTTATCAAATTAACTTATTAAAACATCTAATACTTTTCTATTTTAAAAAGTATGACTAGTTTTAAATCAGTATAGACTATGTATTAAATTTTACTAGTTGACCTAACCTATTCATAACCACATAATATTTCTATATATGTAAACCACGTGCTATGGATAATCCTTATCAAATTTCTCCTTTCCTTAAAATGTTTATTATTAATTGACACTTTCCACTTAATTAAAAGCTCTTTATTTTTGGTAAAAAAAAATAATTAATCTTTTTAGAATAAACATAATGAGATATAATAAAATGAATTATTTTTCTTTAGTTAAAATTTTAGTTTTGAAGTTAAAAATTAATACAATATCATCAAAAAAACTAGTTAGTAATTTTTTTATGATTTTTTTTTATGATTATTTTTTTATAATTTGAAATTAAATATGATAGAAATAAAACATAAAAAGTATTTGACATTAAATTAACAAAAAAGTAAAATATAGTTGTTGCAAGAAAACTTTGATTCGATTTAATTTTAATTTTAAAATTTTAATTTAATATTAACTATTGAATTGTCAATAATAAATATAATTATTTATAATTAAAATAATAATAAATAATATAAAAACATAATTAATTGATTATGTTAATATAAAAAACCAAAAAATAACCATTAAAAATAAATAGAGAAAAAGAAGTTGATATTAACTAGCCTATCATGGGCATTTAGTGTTATGCTGGTCCATTTATGTTCATTGCTTATTATTCATTGATAAGGAAGGATTTAGTCATTTTCAAACATATTATCAGGAAAACTACAAACAAAATCATGTGTCGTAATTAAGTGCTTAACGTGATTTATTGTCTCTTTACGTATACATGAAGTTTTTTTTTATGGTAAATAGTAAAGTAAAAATTAATCATGCAATGTTAAATAAGCTTTGTCCTCGTAGCATTGAAAGCCAACTTCTACTATGGAGGATTGCGATTGATTTAAGTTTTTGGTGCAAAGAAGAGGGATTCAGCTGTAAGGTTAGTACTCCAATGCTTCAATTAGTAGGTGTACGAGAAAAGTGAAACTGAATATTAGGACTTAGTGTCTTTTATGTATATATAAAGGAAAAATTCTAACAACATATTCTTAGGCGTCCAACGGTTCAGTGAACAAAAACCCCTAAAATCTCCTTATGTATCTTCTCCCCCATTCTTTGAATTCAATTTTTAAATATATATCAATTCTAAGAACTCTTCTAATTATCTATAATTATTCTAAAAACTCTCCTAATTATCTATACTTATTGCACCTATTTGCATGACTCCATCATAATTTTAATACAAACAGATCTTACCTCCATATTTTTTCATATTCTCTAAATTCCGCAGAGAAATATTATATTAAGGTTTTTGAAATTACAGATATAATATCATATTTGTCATTAAGAAAATAATAAAAAAGTTACAATCTTTTTCAGCCTAGTGTTATGAACAATCTTTTGGTGTATATTTTGTTTTCAAAATGTTATAGAAATTGTATACTAGAGAGTATTAAAAAATTTGACATTTAATTTTTTACTTTACTTCGTTACATGCTTACAAAAATGATGTGTTGTTGACTTCTTACTCATTAGTCCACTTTGTGCTGAATGACACTATGTATTAATATGATTTCAGACATCGTCCCTCCAAAATTGAATTGACAACTAAGTTTATGAAAAGTTTATTCTTCGAATGACTCCAATACTATCGCCAGTTTAGAAATGATTTTTCTTGATGAAAAACTGAGTATTACATTAGTTGTTTGTTAGCTATCATGTGTTTTTTGTTAGTTTACCGATTTATTTATTTTTTTACCTATTTTTGTGTTTTTTAAGTTTTCAAGTATCAAAACTTCAAAGAAACCTACTCTATACATTATCGAAAAACTATTATTAAAGGTCACATTTGCTGCACACAATTAGAACATTAAAATAAATCTTCAAATTAAATACATTATTAAATATAAATTAAAATAATTAAATTATTATGAAAGGATCAATCAATTCACTTTCAAAATATAGTATTTTTAATAAAATATATTTTTCTTTTTCTCAACCTCTCATTCACTTTGTCTTTCTAATAAATTGTGTTCTTTTTCTAATAAATTGTGATTTAGTTATTGATTATGACTCCATCTAATTACCTAAACATCTCTTTTTGTTTTAAAGTAATTATGTCATATATAACCTAGATAGATTGTTAAGTTAATCTTGAATAATCTTGAGTTTATATAATCTTTATCCCAATTGTTTTGAAATTTGGCAACTATTTACCATCTTTGTTTTTTTTTAACTTTTTTAAATTTTAATTTATTAAATAAATAAACTGTTTTAGTTTTGTTTTTTTAAACATTACACTGTATTATAAGTATATATCATTAGACTATAATATAAATAGTTTTTATATTTAATGAATTCTTATAAAATAGTTTCATTTTCACAATAAAAAAACATCTTATTTCACCATGAAATTATAGGGCTATAATTCTGAGTTTAATATGAAGATATATTGAGAGACTAATATGACGATTTACACATTCAGAATATATTTCATTCTAAAATACTCAATATTAATAACTGATATAAAAATTTTAAGTTGAAACATAATATATTTTAAAATTATTGTAGATAGAATTTATTTTTAAAAAAGTAATAAAATAATTATTATATCATTTATCTCTAGTATTATTGGAGTATGTTTTGTTTTCAAAATATGTTGTAGAAACTGTATACTAGAGAGTATTAAAAAATTTGACATTTAGTTTTTACACGTGTTAATGACTTCTTAGTCATTAGTCCACTTTATGCAGAATGACATTTGTATTAGTATGATTTTCGACATCGTCCCTTCAAAATTGAACTGGAAGATTAAAGTTTGTGTACTAAATTTTCGAAAAGTTCATTCTTGAAATGACTCCAATATTATTGACAGTTAAAAAAAGATTTTGTTTGATGACAAAATGAATATTATAATGGTGGTTTATCATCTATCATGTATTTTTTTTATTTTTTTATCTTACCAATTTATTATATTTTTTCGTGTTCCTTTATTGTTTCTCTTTCTATGTTGTTTTTTCAGTGTTCAAGTATTAAAGCTTTAGTGGAACTGCACTATACATTATTTAAAAAAATAATTTAATGTGCATAATTACTATATGCAATAAGAACATTAAAATAAATCTTCAAATTAAGAAAGTTATTAAATATAAAATAAAATTATTGAATTATTATGTAAGGATCAATGAATTCAAATTTAATGTTTTTAATACAAATGTCGTTAATAAAAAAATATATATGATATTCTAAAATAAATAAATAAATGTATTATTTTGAATAAAATAAATTCTCCTTTCTCTCAATCCCTAGTTTACTTACTCTTTCTAATAAATTGTGATTTAATTATTAATTATGGCTCCATTTAATTAATTAATCATCTCTTTTTGTTTAAATGTAATTATGTTATATATAACATTGATATATTATTATATTATCTTTTTCAAATTCTAATTTATTAAATAAATAAATTATTTTAGTTTTATTTTTATTAAATAAATTAATTTGTTTGAGTAACAAATTTTAAAAGTCTAACAACGAACTCGTCTACCCAAATCAATCGTAATTAATTTTTATAATTTATATCATCATTATCAAAAAAATTTATACAAAATATTAAAATTCAAGAAGAAGAAACATGGCAATTCATTTGTGACATTCACGATCTACATGGAGACACCAAAGAATTATGAAGTTTATATTATTTTAGAAAATGTATGAATGTAAATTGGATACCCAATATGAAATATGAAAATAGATATTGAATGGATACCCAATATGAAATATGAAAATATGTAAATTGGATCACACAATCTATTATTTTAAAAAATGGATGAAATATGAAAATAGACAAACATATCAATTTAACAAATAATGAAATTTGAATACCCAATAACTAAACCACATTATTACTATAGAAACCGGTTTATATTTGGATAAAAAAATGGATAACCACATTTATATTTTAACGTTTGGTTTGAATTTTTAAAAGGGAAACAATTTGGATAATAATTCGGTTAACAATAACTAGTTTTTTTGCGCACCCTAATAATTGAGATGACTTGAGTTCTAGGAATATTCCATTATGAGATGAGGTTTGTGTAGACCATCTATCAATCTTCTTTGTTTTAGGCTGAGTGTCACATCTTGTGCTATTTAAATACCATTGTTATAAATTTTTCCATTAGAAAAACTATTTATTATCTCGCTTAAAATATTATAATAAATCAAAAATACGAAAATTTAATTTAAAACAATTTATATATTTTTTATCGATTTAGATATCATATCCTCCGAAAAATACAAAATCTAGGTTAAAACGATTCGGTTTGTTTCCCAAATTTATTATTAATTTATTATTTTTTCATTTAAAAACCACTTATAATTCAAATGTCATAGTGGATACTTTGAGCCAACCATTACGTATTTTATTTAAATTATTATTGAAATACATGGTAAATATAATAATCCCCTAGATGGGATTCGGTTGAAACAAGATAAGTTAAGACATCATTATTTCTTCTTGGTTTTTACCACAAACCAATAAATATTTATTCATCAAGTGCAAGTCCTCAAGCTGCTCAATACTTCACTCTGCAATAAGGAAAATGAAGTTGACATTAGCCCATTTTAAATATACTATCATCATATACTTAGGATTTTGTTATTTTTATTTCTCATGAATCACAATTTTATAAGCCAAGACAATAAACAAAAAGAAAATGTAATTGTAGTTTGTAAGTACTGAAATCATGTTCTAATTAATTTAAAAAGATTCTTAAAAATAAAATAAATTTGAGTATTTGATAAATAAATTATATGAAAAGAGAGGGTTGATTTGAAGAGATATACGTGTTGCAGTCAATGGAGGGAGTGACTTTGTAGGGCAAGTTGACACCACACTTGGCCGGAAGAGCAGCAAGAGCTGGAAGATTGAGTCCAGGGAAGCTGATGACGGTGGATTTAAGGCACCTACAAGCACCTTGACGATCAGGGACAGTTTTAGCTTGACTATTTAGAGTTCTAATCCCATTGCAACATGGAGCAGGGACAGACGGAGTTGGGCTCCTAAGGTACCCAATGCATGGTGTTATTGTGAGTTGTATCTGACCACATGAAAGGGCAGCATTAGCTAAGGGAGTGCTCAAAACCAAGCATGCCATAACCAAGAAAGTAACTTTGACAAACATTGTGCTAGCCATGATTGATTTAGAAAATTTGGAAAGGGAAATGTTGCACTTGGAGTGTGAATGATTGGGGAGGTGATGATGCTGTTATGCTGGATAGCTAACAACTATTTATAGATTGTCTACTTTGGTCAAATATTGTACTAAATTCTTAAATTTAATTATTTACAGTTTTATATATATATATATATATATATATATATATATATATATATATATATATATATATATATATATATATATATATATATATATATTTCTTTTTTATATATTAATTTTTCAATCTTTTAATCATTTTCTAATTTTATTTATAATTAGAAATACATTTCTTTTTTATATATTAATTTTTCAATCTTTTATGATATACAATATTAATAAAAAAATTGCGTCACTTATTATATATTTTATTAGATAATCTTTAGGTTTTAATACTTTAAATATAATAATTATCAAACAGTTTTATCTTGAATTTAAAAAGCTATATTTAGTATTAATTTGAAAATAACTTTTAAATTCAAAAAGAAGTATATCAAACACACACTTAATCTTATCTTATTACATAACTTTCTTTATATTGATCCCTAATCATAATAAGTTGGACTTAATTAGACTTTGACAAACTTAAGTTTGGCCAGTTAAAAATATTAAAGTTTATTAGGACGTATAATATATCATAAGTTTATTTTAAATTTGAATTTGATATTTGCATAAGTTTGATTAAACTATTTGCCTTTTTAAGAGTCTATTTTATTTGAAAATATATAAATAAGCAATCTAATTATTGTTTTTATACACTAAAAAACTAAAAGATTATTGATAATAAATTTTTTTTTGCATCGATTTATATGAACTTATTTATTAAAATAAATTTTTTGAAATTATTTATTTAGCAAAACTTATGACGTTGTTTATATGATGCTTTCAGCCTATTTTCGCAATAAAATTTAAAGTAATTAAGTTTTACTTTTATATTTTAATTTAAAATACAGTAGCAGTAGTAGTAGTAGTAATAATAATAATAATAATAATAATAATAATAATAATAATAATAATAATAATAATAATAATAATAATAATAATAATAATAATAATTATAATAATAATAATAAAAATAATAATAATAATAATAATAATAATAATAATAATAATAATAATAATAATAGTAATAATAATAGTAATAATAATAATAATAATAATATTAATAATAATAATAATAATAATAATAATAATAATAGATTTATTTATATTTATTTAAATAGATTAGTCTAATAAATTTAAATAACTTTTTATGAACAAAAGTCTAGTTTTTTTATCAAATTAACTTATTAAAACATCTAATACTTTTCTATTTAAAAAAGTATGACTAGTTTTAAATCAGTATAGACTATGTATTAAATTTTACTAGTCTAAAATACAAGAGAATAACCACATAATATTTCTATATATGTAAACCACGTTCTATGGATAATCCTTATCAAATTTCTCCTTTCCTTAAAATGTTTATTATTAATTGACACTTTCCACTTAATTAAAAGCTCTTTATTTTTGGTAAAAGAATAATTAATTTTTTTAGAATAAATATAATGAGATATAATAAATGTTTTTAAATTTAATATTAACTATTGAATTGTCAATAATAAATATAATTATTTATAATTAAAAACGTAATAAATAAAATAAAAACATAATTAATTGATTATCTTAATATAAAAAACCAAAAAGTAACCATTAAAAATAAATAGAGAAAAAGAAGTTGATATTAACTAGCCTATCATGGGCATTTAGTGTTATGCTGGTCCATTTATGTTCATTGCTTATTCTTCCTTGATAAGGAAGGATTTAGTCATTTTCAAACATATTATCAGAAAAAGTACAAACAAAATCATGTGTCGTAATTAAGTGCTTAAGGTGATTTATTTCCTCTTTACGTATACATGAGATTTTTTTTATGATAAATAGTAAAGTAAAAATTAATCATGCAGTGTTAAGTAAGCTTTGTCCTCGTAGCATTGAAAGCCAACTTCTACTATGGAGGATTGCGATTGATTTAAGTTTTTGGTGCAAAGAAGAGGGATTCAGCTGTAAGGTTAGTACTCCAATGCTTCAATTAGTACGTGTACGAGAAAAGTGAAATTGAATACCAGGACTTAGTGTCTTTTATGTATATATAAAGGAAAAAGAACAAAAACCTCTAAAATCTCCTTGTGTATCTTCTCCCCCATTTTGAATTCAATTTTTAAATACCAATTCTAAGAACTCTTCTAATTATCTATAATTATTCTAAGAACTCTGCTAATTATCTATACTTATCGTACCTATTTGCATTACTCCATCATAATTTCAATACAAACAGATCTAATTACCTCCATATTTTTTTCATATTCTCTAAATTCCGCAGAGAAATATTATATCAAGGTTCTTAAAATTACAGATATAATATCATATTTGTCATTAAGAAATTAATAAAAAAGTTACGATCTTTTTCAGCCTAGTGTTATGAACAATCTTTTAGAGTATATTTTGCTTTCGAAATGTTATAGAAACTGTATACTAGAGAGTATTAAAAAATTTGACATTTAATTTTTTACTTTACTTTGTTACATGCTTACAAAAATGATGTGTTGATGACTTCTTACTCATTAGTCCACATTAGTCCACTTTATGCAGAATATTAATATGATTTCAGACATCGTCCCTCCAAAATTGAATTGACAATCGCTAGTTTAGAAATGATTTTTCTTGATCAAAAACTGAGTATTACATTAGTTGTTTGTTAGTTATCATGTGTTTTTTATTAGTTTACCGATTTATTTATTTATTTATTTTACCTATTTTTGTGTTTTGTCAGTTTTCAAGTATCAAAACTTCAAAGAAACCTACTCTATACATTATCGAAAAACTATTTTTAAAGGTCATATTTACTGCACACAATTAGAACATTAAAATAAATCTTCAAATTAAATACATTATTAAATATAAAATAAAATAATTAAATTATTATGGAAGGATCAATCAATTCACTTTCAATGTTTTTAATAAAAATGTCTTTAATACCGAAAAAATATGATAATTGAAAATAAATAAAAAATATAGTATTTTTAATAAAATATACTTTTCTTTTTTTCAACCTCTCAATCACTTTGTCTTTCTAATAAATTGTCTTCTTTTTCTAATAAATTGTGGTTTAATTATTTGGTATGACTCCATCTAATTACCTAAACATCTCTTTTTGTTTTAAACTAATTATGTCTATATAACCTTGATAGATTGTTAAGTTAGTCTTGAATAATCTTGAGTTTATATAATCTTTATCCCATTTGTTTTGAAGTTCGGCAACTATTTACCATCTTTGTTTCTTTTTAACTTTTTTAAATTTTAATTTATTAAATAAATAAATTGTTTTAGTTTTGTTTTTTTAAACATTTTTTTAATCAAAAGGAAGATTGAAATAATTCAAAAAAAAAACAGTACAAGTACAAGGCGATCGCGAGAATCCTGCCCTCAGGAAAGACGCAAAGACCAAATGAAAAGTACAAAAAGCACTAATAAGTCATCAAGTCAGCAATGTGCGGCCTAAGTTTCTGGTTATACCACCCCCTATAAACAATCATATCTATAATATTATCACCAATTTTTGTCTTATCTATAACATTACCGTAACAAATGTCATTACGGCATTTCTATACACCATAAACAGTTTCCGTTATAGCTAGTTTTAGGAGGGATGCACGCCAACCCTTACCGCTTGTACTTCGGCACACCCAATCCATTTCTTCATCCCACGGTCGCAGGACATGTGGAATCTGGATCCAATCTAGGATTTTGGTCCAGATACACACCGTTTCAGGACAGCAAAATAAGAGATGATTAATAGATTCCTCCTCTTTAGAACAAAGACTACATCTATCATCAGTAATCATACCAAATCGGAAAAGGCATTGTTTTGTAGTCAATCTTCCGTGACACGCAAACCACATAGTAATCAGAGCCCTTGGTCGAGCAGCATTACCTCAGAGTATATTCTTCATATAAATATCCTTCATCCTAATCCATGAGGTGTGGGAGTTTGATACTGACATTACACTGTATTATAAGTATATATCATTACACTGTATTATAAGTATATATCATTAGACTATAATATAAATAGTTTTTATATTTAATGAATTGTTATAAAATAGTTTCGTTTTCACATTAAAAAAACATCTTATTTCACCATGAAATTGCAGGGCTATAATCCTGAATTTAATATGAAGGTATATTGAGAGACTAATATGATGATTTACACATTCAGAATATATTTCATTCTAAAATACTAAATATTAATAACTCATATAAAAATTTTAAGTTGAAACATAATATATTTTAAAATTATTGTAGATAGAATTTATTTTTTTTAAAAAATAATAAAATAATTATTATATCATTTATCTCTAGGATTATTGGAGTATGTTTTGTTTTCAAAATATGTTGTAGAAACTGTATACGAGAGAGTATTAAAAAATTTGACATTTAGTTTTTACACGTGTTAATGACTTCTTAGTCATTAGTCCATTTTATGCATAATGACATTTGTATTAGTATGATTTTCAACATCATCCTTCCAAAATTGAACTGGAAAATTAAAGTTTATGTACTAAGTTTCTGAAAAGTTCATTCTTGAAATGACTTCAATATTATTGACAGTTAAAAAAAGATTTTTTTTTATGACAAAATAAATATTATAATGGTTGTTTATCGTCTATCATGTGTTTTTTTTTTGTTGTTATTTTACCAATTTATTATATTTTTTCGGTGGAAACTGCACTATACATTATTTTAAAAAATAATTTAATGTGCATAATTACTATATGCAATAACAACATTAAAATAAATCTTCAAATTAAGTAAGTTATTAAATATAAAATAAAATTATTGGATTATTATGTAAGGATCAATCAATTCAAATTTAATGTTTTTAATACAAATGTCTTTAATAAAAAAATATATGATATTCTAAAATAAATAAATAAATGTATTATTTTGAATAAAATAAATTCTCCTTTCTCTCAATCCCTAGTTTACTTACTCTTTCTAATAAATTGTGATTTAATTATTAATTATGACTCCATTTAATTAATTAATCATCTCATTTTGTTTTAATGTAATTATGTTATATATAACATTGGTAGATTATTATATTATCTTTTTCAAATTCTAATTTATTGAATAAATAAATTATTTTAGTTTTATTTTTGTTAAATGTTACACTTGTTTTATACGTAAATATCATAAGAAAATAATATAAATAATTTTATATTTCATGAATTCTTATAAAACAGTTTAATTTTTACCATAAAATAACTTCTTATTTTACCATAAAATTGCAGTAATAATATGGGCTATAATCCTGAGATTCAAATAAAGATATATTGAGGAACTAGTATGACGATTTATACATTCAAAATATATTTTATTTTAAAATAATAAATATTATAATTAATATAAAAAATTTTAGTTGAAACATAATATATTTTAAAATTATTGTAGGTAAAACTTATTTAAAAAGAAGTAATCAAATAATTATTATATCATTTATCTCTTATATTATTGGACATTTAATTTTTTACAAAATCATTGTCAAAAAATAATTTTTGAAACACAAAATAACAATATTATAATAAATCTTCAAATTAAATACATTATTAAATATAAAATTAAATTATTGAAATTATTATGGATAGATCATTCAATTCAATTTCAATGTTTTTAAGAAAAGTATCTTTGAGAGAATAAATTTATGATAATTTAAATAAATAAAAAATATAGTTTTTTTCACGATAAATTTTCTTTTAATAATTTCACCACAAAGCTGCAATAATAATATGGACAACAATCATGGATTTAATATGAAGATAGATTCAGGAACTAATATGATGAGTTACACATTTGATGATCAAAATGGTAGCATGTTATTTTTTTTATAAGATGTTTGTTTCTTTTAATACATGTATTTTAACAGTTTTTATAATTTGTCAACTCAGTTTATACATATAATTTTTATAATTTTGATAACTTCTCAACTCAAATAGATAAATCATATGACTATGCAGTATTCATTTTTTAGTACGACTCTTAAACTATACATGACTCGGTATTGGAATTTTGTCAAACTACCAGATTTGTTCTAGCATGAGGAGGATTATTTCACCTTGTGTTTCAAATCCTTTGCTGACAAAGAACAAGTGTAGATCAAAGTATTGTACACGATATTCAACTTCAAGATAGACATGCTCAGGACTCTCCCTATCTGGGTAACACTATCTCATCTACCTCTGAACTTATGGGGTCCAAAGAGTTTAGGGAAAAAAGGTAGTGGTTTGGGTAACCCCTAAGTTACTGATGAATGCACAACTAATAAGTTGCAGATCTCATATTCGAGAATATTGGTTGAAATTGACATTACTCAGATACAGAAGGAGAATATAACAATTAGAGACCGTGAAGGCAACAAAATGCAATAGACAGTCCAAATGGCTCAATGAAAGTGAGTATCGCGATTTTGATAGGATGATGAAGAATCTGGACTTACATGATAAAGAGAGCAATGATCACTACGCCAAAATTGGTTTTTTGTATCGCCTACTTTAATAGTGCTTTTTAAATAAGCGCTATTAAAAAGGAAACAAACATATTTATAATAGCGCTTTATAGTAAAGCGCTATTAAAGAGTACAGAGAATATGATTTTGATAGCACTTTGTAAAAAAGCGCTATTATAGATATTCACTAAGATAGCGCTTTTCTAAAAAGCGCTATTAAAATGTTGTATTACAATAGCACTTTTATAAAAGCGCTATTATTAAAAGCACTACGATAGCGCTTTTTAAAAACCGCTATTAAAATATGTAACTACAATAGCGCTTTCTATGGAACCGCTATCGTTTCTATAATTGTGTTTTAAGATAGTGCTTTTTTAAAAAGCGCTATTAAAATATTCCACTAAATTAAATTAATTAAAATATGAAAACCTTTCCTGGCCCAAATTTTTTTCGTTTTGGCTCAAAATACTTTCACCCACGCAAAATTCTTTCACCCACGCAAAATTGGTTTTGGCGCAAATGTTCTTCACCGCTTCTTCATCGATTCACCACTTCTTCATCGATTCACCGCTTCTTCATCGATTCACAGCCATCATTTTTACTTCACTGGAATAAAAAGACGAACCCTAAGACAGCTCACCACCGTCATCCTTCTCCGTCGATCTCAGTCGTCGTCATCAGCTCACCACCGTCATCCTTCTCCGTCGAAAGGAGCCACCGTCATCAGCTCACCACCGTCATCCTTCTCCGTCGAAAGGAGCCGCCGTCATCAGCTCACCACCGTCATCAGCTCACCACCATCACCCTTCTCTTCATTATATCTGGTAATCTTTCTTTTTCTCAGATTATTGCTTTGTGTTAAATTGTAAAATTAGGGATTTGAATGCTTTGTGTTGTAATTGTGACCGGTAAAATTAGGGATTTGAATGCTTTCTGTTGTAATTAGGACCGGTAAAATTAGGGATTTGAATGCTTTGGTTTGGAAACCGTTAGACTTCTGCAGGTAATTTAGGACCTAATCTTGGAACATTGCACAATGGTATCCCTTGGCTAATTACAGTGGCCAAATTTTGTATAGGAGTTGCAAAAACAATAACTTTATAGTGAAATTATTTTTTTTACTAATAATAGAACATGTTAATTTGATGTGCATATGGTTGATGTTAGTGTGCGACAATAATATGATTTTAAGCTTGCACATTTGATGTATTTTCATGAATCCAGTAATTTTGTTATGCTTGAATGTATTTTCAGTTGTTCTAATTGGTATTTTGTGATCATGTTTGAAATTACTTTAGGGGAAATCCAAAAAGGCAATTGAAGCCATGATAACAAGATCTAAAGAAACCGTGAAGACTGAAGATGTGAATTTGAGTGAGGAAGAAAGAACTGAGAAAGAGCAGAGGGAGTTGGTGCCTTTACTAACTGGTGGGAAATTGAAGTCTTATCAATTGAAGGGTGTAAAGTGGTTAATCTCCTTGTGGCAAAATGGACTGAATGGGATTCTTGTTGATCAAATGGGTCTTGGGAAGACAATCCAAACTATTGGGCTTCTTTCTCATCTTAAATCAAAAGGATTGGATGGGCCATATATGATAATTGTTCCTCTATCAACCCTCTCCAACTGGATGAATGAGATATCTAGGTATATTCTTATATCTAGTATTATTTTGTTATGTTGTGCTTCTTCACTGTGATAATTGTTTCTTGAATAAATGTATTTAGGTTTGCACCATCGCTCCCTGCTGTTATCTACCACGGTAGTAGGGATCAGAGAGATGAAATCAGAAGGAAACATATGCCTAGAACAATTGGTCCAAAATTTCCCATAGTAATAACTTCTTATGAGATTGCATTGAATGATGCTAAGAAATTTTTCTGGGCATACCAATGGAAATATCTTGTTGTTGACGAGGTACATATTCTTTCATTTGCATGCATAACACATTCTATGTTTTGTTGTATGTGTTTACTCAACCTCAATCATATCCTCAGGGTCACAGGCTAAAAAATTCACAATGCAAATTAGTGAAGATGTTGAAATACATCAGTGTTGAAAATAAGCTTCTTTTGACTGGGACACCACTCCAGAATAACTTGGCAGAGCTGTGGTCATTGCTGAACTTCATCTTACCTGATATTTTCTCATCTCTTGAAGAATCTGAGTCATGGTTAGTGTTCTATTCCTACTGGTTATTGTTCACACTTTTCTATATTTCCACTGTCATATGGGGATATGTTACTGTTGGAAATATAATTTCCTGGATTGTGTAAGGAAAGCAACATAGAGAAAAAAGAAGTGCTTTGTTATATTGTGATCTAAATCAATGTGCTTTTTATTATGTACTGTACTCTACTAATTTGATTTAATGCAGGGCGTACTGTGGGGAGTATTAATAACTTGATGATTCAACTTAGGAAAGTCTGTAACCATCCTGACCTCTTAGAATCACCCTATGATGGTTCATGTAAGTTGTCACATGGTTGGATGGTTTAGCTAATGTTACGACTAGTGATACAAATAATAAGCTACATTTTATTTGTGATATATTTTTATCCTCCCTTGAATGAGATAATTGAGCAATGTGGAAAATTCCAATTGCTCAACCGGTTGTTGGAGCGGTTATTTGCACACAATCACAAGGTATGCTTTACATGTGTTGCTTTTGGCTTCCTTTTTTGTGTCGCCAAGCTGTGACTCACACCTTTGGTTATTGCTATCAGGCTCTGATCTTCAGTCAATGGACTAAAGTGCTAGATTTAATAGATTATTATTTTAGTGAAAAGGGCTTTGAAGTTTGCAGGATTGATGGTTCAGTGAAACTGGATGAAAGGAAACGGTAGGTCTGAACAAGTGCTTGTAAACACCACTTTTAATCAGATAACTCAAATTACTTTTGTTAATATGTTTTGTTTTATGATTTGATTCTTTTGAATGTGAAATTAATAATGCAGAATCTTGCATCACGATCTTCAAATATGTCTGTTTTGTCATAAATGATAACTTAAGGGCCTGTTTGTTTGTGCTTGTTTTTCAATAAAGAAAGCTCTTATTATCCACGACTTACTACATTTTGGCACTGATTTTAAAATCTATGTTTTTATTTAAATCATGGATTTATATTGCAACACTCTTCTGTAATCATCACCTGTTCTCTTGGGAATGCTGATCCTAATCATCTGTCACAGATTGAAAAAGCTAAATTTATGTTTGTTTTGTTGGCCCACGAGCAGATCGAGGAGTTCAATGATATAAACAGCCGTTTCAGAATATTTCTTCTTTCTACTAGGGTGGGTGGACTAGGAATAAACCTTACCGCAACTGACACTTGTATTCTTTATGACAGTGACTGGGTACTTTTTGACTTTTTCCTGTCTGGCATTTATCTAATTGCTTTACAATATTTGACTTGCAATCTGCTTATGATTTTGTTATACTCCAGAATCCTCAAATGGATTTGCAGGCCATGGATAGATGTCATAGAATCGGTCAAACAAAGCCTGTTCATGTATACAGGCTTGCAACTGCACAATCAGTAGAGGTATTTGGCAGTATAGTATATTTGTATGGCATGTAACTGGTGGCTTCTAATTTTGAGATGAGCATGACATGATCCTTTTACAGGGTCGAATGCTGAAAAGAGCTTTCAGCAAGTTGAAGCTTGAGCACATGGTGATAGAGAAAGGACAGTTTCATCAAGAGCGTACAACGCCTTCCATTATGGATGAAATGGAGGTTCGTATGTTAGCTGTAGTTTGTAATTGATTTTTTTTCTTTTTGTTCTCAGTATTTTCTTTTGTATAAATGAATTTGACGGGAAAATGTACTAGAATCTAATGTTGAAAATGTGGTTTTGGTTATTTACATGGCTAGCTAGTTTTTAACTTGACTAGAAATTTTTTAAACTTGACTAGAATGTTTTTCTAATCGTTGGATTGGCCTAACTAGATAAACATGCAACCCTTTTAATCATCAATTAGTTTCATATTCAAGCTTATATGCCTCATACTACAAATTGCTAAGATTTTGTGGAAGATTAGCTTGTGTATTGTCAATTTCCAAAATAGTATTGTTGCATCTTTATTTATTTAGGGGGAATGGATCTGCTTAGCTCCAAGATTGACTGGAACTATGAAGCAGACAGTCCATAGTCTCTGATCTGTGATATTTGGTTTTTAGAGTTACATTTTTCACCATGTTATAATGAGTGTCTCTTATCTGTGATATTAGGAAAATGATCTATTGGCATTGCTTCGAGATGACGAAACAGCTGAGGACAAAATGATACAGAAAGATATTAGTGATGAAGACCTGGAGAATCTTTTGGATCGTGGTGATCTTGTTGTCGATGGATCGACTGATGTCAAAGCTCCAGTTAGTACCTTTCCCCTTAATGGACCTGGGTGGGAGGTGGTGATTCCAACTGCATCTGGTGGCATGCTTTCCACTCTCAACAGCTAATTTCTTGCACGTGCAACAGAACTTTTTTGGGCTAAATATTTTTAGAAATATTGCTTTTTGTGGCATGAGATGTAATTGAATTTGAGACAATCTCAGCCAGTGAAATGTCCTGGAGGGCATTCAATTTTGTAAATTCTACTAACGGAACTACAGGTAGAGAGATGAAAGCTACTTTGCTGCATGTTATTTTCAAACTATTCACATATCCAACATTCATCCACCCAATTTAAACTAGGCTTGTAACTAACCGACTTGTTTGACAGGCTTTGATTTTGATTTGTGTTTGCTTGCTTTATTCACTTAATGATATTCTTATTAAAAAGATACTCCATGCTTTATTAATGCCAAGCACTTTCTGAAGAAGCTTGTGCTGTGCCCATGCTCCAGGTAAACATTTTATAATTTATTGTAAAATTTTGTTATAATTTATTGTAAAATTTTGGATTTTGGTGGCTAATTTGTTTAAAAGAATATACACTGACATGATATTATCATCCTATCAATTTGCATCTTTTACCCTTTAACAATACTATCTTATGCAGGAGATTTATTAATTTGCCCCATGTTTGTATAATAGCAAACAAAAAAAGTAGATAAACTTTACAATTTAGACATGTACTCTTAAGCCAAATTAATGGTATCACATTTGTCATTATTATTTTAATTTCAAGTATTTTAGCTACTTAGTTATAATTATTTTATGAATTCTAATGTTGTAAAATGCAATTGCCATATATATATATATATATATATATATATATATATATATATATATATATATATATATATATATATATATATATATATATATATATATATATATATATATATATATATATATATATATATATATATATATATATATATATATATATATATATATATATATATATATATATATATATATATATATATATATATATATATATATATATATATATATATATATATATATATATATATATATATATATATATATATATATATATATATATATATATATATATATATATATATATATATATATATATATATATATATATATATATATATATATATATATATATATATATATATATATATATATATATATATATATATATATAAAATGATTTGGTGTAAAAAAAAGTGTATTAAAATTAAAGCAATTTACCGGTATTTCAATAGCGCTTTGTTTGAAAGTGCTATCGAATATGTGGATTATAATAGCGCTTTGTTTGAAAGTGCTATTAAATATGTGTCTTATAATAGCGCTTTATTGGAAAGCGCTATTAAATATGTGTACTATAATAGCGCTTTGTTTGAAAGTGCTATCAAAATTATAGCAAATTACCGGTGCTATAATAGCGCTTTTTTTGAAAGCGCTATCAAATATGTGACTTATAATAGCGGTTTTGTAAAAGCGCTATTAAATACAGGTCCTATAATAGCGCTTTTGAAAAAGCGCTATTAATTACCAGAACTATAATAGCGCTTTTAAAGCGCTATTAAAAATTTTGTTTTACAATAGCGCCTTGATTAATAGCGCTTTAAAGCGCTATTAAAAAGCAAAAAAAGCGCTATTAAAAAACTTTTTTGTAGTAGTGGATGAGTATTTTACTTGGTTTAAAAATCAAATGGAGAACCCTATCTACTCTAAGATTGATAGGGTAATAGGGAACTTAGCTTGGCACCAAAGTAATGTTGCAACTGTCTTGAATGTCATGGAAAATGAGGTTTCTAAACATGCTTTACTTGTGGCTTTTGGATTAAAAGGTTAAGATTAGCAGGAATCACCACTTTAAATTTTAGAATGATGTTATCCTTACTAAGTGTTTTATGATAGATGTTAATACCAGGTGGAATACTCCTATAAGGGTTACTGGGATAGAGGCTCTTTGGAGAAAGTTAAGAAGACTGTAACTTGTTATCATGAAGAAAGGGAAAGAGTTTGTTGGCATTAAATCTCAGGTGGAGGATGCTACGAAAAATCTCCAAAATGCTCAAATAAACCTGGCTCAGGATAAAATGAATGTTGACAAAATCCATACTATCAAAAGATGCCCTGGAAGAGTTATTCATCTGAATGGAATAGAAGATCAATTGTTGAAGCAAAGGACTAAAATAGATTGGCTTAAGAATGGTGATAAGAACTCAGCTTACTTCTATGCTATGCTCAAAATCCAAATTGTGCAGAATCAAATTCTCAACCTGGTCAACAATGATGGAGTAGTCTTAACTACTCAAAAAGATATTGAGTAGGAAGTTCTTAATTTCTATGGTAATCTGATTGGGATAACCTCTACTAATACCAAAGGCATAGATATTATGGTGATGAGAAAGGGTAATCAGTTATCCTTGGCAGATAGGGAGAGTCTCATTGCTCCCATTAGCAACTTGGACATTGACGTTGCCCTTAAGAGTATGAAATATAGTTTTTCTCCTAGTATTGATGATTATGGAGCCAAGTTTTTTAAAGCTACTTGGAATGCCACCAAATATGATTATGTATGCTGCAGTTAAAGAGTTCTTTAAAATAGAGAGATTGTTTCATCATTTCTACAACACATTAGTAACCCTTATCCCTAAGATCAACAATGCCAAGATGGTAAAGGACTTTAGACCTATATCCTGCTATTTTGTCATATATTAAATCATTGCTAAAATCCTGGCAGTGAGGCTTGGTAAATTTATTAGTAGTATTATTCACTATTGCCAAGCTGCTTTTGTTTCTAGCTATCATTGGGAAGACCATGTTCTTCTGGCCTATGAGCTAATGAAGGGGTACAGTGCTAAAGGAGGTTCTCCAAAATGTATGATTAAGATGGATGTGCAAAATCTCTATGACTCAGTTGAGTGGACAACTTTGGAATCTATTCTACAAGAAGTGGGTATTCCTTTTAAATTTATCAGGTGGATCCTCACCACTGTTAAAACTGTCTCTTACAAGTTTAATATCAATGGAGAGCATACTTGTAGCTTAAAAGCAAATAGAGGTTTAAGACAAGGGGACCCCCTGTCTCCCTTGCTCTTTGTCATCATAATGGAGTATTTGCATATATCTTTTGGTAAGTTTTTCTAATAACCCTAATTTTAATTTCATTCCAGATGTGACAAGCTTAAACTAATTCACCTTTGTTTTACATATGACCTTCTAGTCTTCACAAGAGGAGATGCTATGTTAGTTCAAATGGCCTTACAGACTTACAATGATTTTTCTGCTGCTACTAGTTTAATTGTTAAACCTCAAAAGTGAAATATATTTTTTGGGATTGCTAATGAGGAATCTACACAAGAGATTTTGTATCTTACGGGTTTCGGGGAAGGATGCCTTCCTTTTCGTTATTTAGGCATCCCTTTCACTAGAAAGAAGCTCTCTATTATGCAATGTAATATGTTGGTGGAAAAAAATTATTGCTAGGGTGAACCATTGGAGTTCTCATTTGATGAGTTTTTCAAGGAGAACTTTATTGATCAAAAGCACAGTTTTTGCAAATCTGAATTTATGGCTGTAGGCGCTACCTCTCCCTAAGAAGGTCATTCACAAAATGGAGTCAACATGCAAATCCTTTCTTTTGAAAGGTAGTGGAGAGATATAAAGGAAAACTCCAATATCGTGGAAGAAAACATGTAACAACAAAAATCAGGGTGACCTCAACATTGTTGATTTTGAAGATTGGAAATCTACTCGTATGCTCAAGCTCCTTTGGAATATTAGTGGCAAAAGAGATAGTTTATGGATCAAACAGATCCATAACTATTATATGAAGGGTCAAATATTATGAATGTAATTGTCAAAAGAAATTGGTCTTGGATTAGAAAAGTTATTTTTAAGCATAAACTGAAGATTGTTAGAAACCAAGATTGACTTGTGATCTTACAGAAGCAGAAAGTAAAAACTAGAGATTTCTACAACCTCATCATAGCTAATCATGATAAAGTTGAGTGGTACAAGATATGGTTCAATAATCCAGCTAGGTCATGGTCCCTTTTTATTATATGGTTGACGTGTAATGGGAGGTTGCAAACAAAAGATAGACTTCACAAATTTGGAATGATTGATAATAAGAACTATTGCTTTTGTAAAGAAGAGGAAACTCTCAAACATTTGTTTTTCAGCTGCTCTGAGATACACAAAACTTGGCAGAAAATTCTACAGTGGATTAAAGATAATCACTCCCCTCTTAGGTTGGAAGAAGAGCTTAGATGGGTCCTTAAAAATAGTAAAATGAAAAATAGCAAAAGCAAAATTCTCAAAGGTGCTTTTGTGGAAACGATCTATGAAGCTTGGCGATATTGTAATCATATATTCTTTGGAGAAACCATAGGGAAAGATGTTGTTTCCAAAATTATTGACTCTATAGCATATAGATGTTGGAAAAGGCCCAACCTTAGAAGGCATATAAGCATGTTAATGATGTATTGAGTTATGTTTTAGGTCTCTTTAGTTGGTTGTTTGGTGTTGTTGGTCAGGTCTTCGGATTGCCAAGAGTTGTATTGCTTTTGGAATTTAATAAAGTTTCTTTATTCCCAAAAAGTAACTTCTCAACTCAAATAGATAAATAATAGTACTATGTAGTATTCATTTTTTATAGTACGACTCTTAGTATTTTTTGATAGTCTACTATTTATTATCTAAAAAATATATTATTGTATTTATTGTATCTTGCTTGAAACTTATTTTCCAATATTTACAATTTCAAAGCAGGATGAATATTCTTATCTTATATACATATAATAATATGCATATAATTTTAAATGATTTTTTTTCAATGGACTTTTAGTTCACAAGATGAAATTGTAAATTTTATGCTTCTGAACAAATTATACTTTAAAAGTGTGTTTAACTTCTCTAATTTTGCAATTTGAATTGTTTCTATTGAGCAGGTGAATCACTCATAAAGTTAGCATACCACTTTCTTCATCAACAATTGAATAAAATGCGTTCTCCTTTTCTCAACTACTAATTTTCTTTCTCTTTCCAATAAAATATATTTAATTATTTATTAATTATGTCTCCACGTAATTACCCAAACACCTCTTTACTCCAAAGGTTCAGTGAACAAAAATTTCTAAATTCCCCTTGTGTATCTTCTCCCCATACTTTGAATTCAATTTCTAAATGCCAATTCTAAGAACTCTGCTAATCACCTATAATTATTTGAAGAACTCTTCTAATTATATATATTTATCGCACTTATTCGCATTACTCCATCAAGATTTTAATACAAATAGATCTTACTTCCATATTTTTTCAAATTCTCCAAATTCTGCAGATACATATTACACCAAGGTTCTTCATATTACAAATATAATATCATATTTATCATTAAAAAAAAAGCTACGATCTTTTTCTGCCTAGTCTTATGAAGCATCTTTTGAAGTACGTTTGGCGTTCAAAATATGTTGTAGAAATTGTATACTAGAGAGTATTAAAAAATTGACATTTAATTTTTATTTTTACTTTAATTTGTTATATGCTTAAATAAATGATAGCTAACAAGAAATGATAGTTTCAAGAAAAAAATATTATATTTGTCATTAAGAAAAAGTTAAAAAATTTCCAATATTTTTCAGCCTAGTGTTATGAACCATCTTTTGGAGTATGTTTTGCTTTCGAAGTATGATATAGGAACTATATACTAGAAAGTATTAAAAATTTTAACATTTAATTTTTTACTTTACTTTGTTATATGCTTACAGAAAAGATGTGTTGACGTCTTTTTACTCATTAGTTCATTTTATGTAGAATGATACTTTACTTTTAGTTTAGTTTTTTCAGTGTTCAAGTATAAATCTTCGCGAAACCTGCATTATAAATTGTCGAAAAACTATTTTTAATGGTCATAATTACTATACATAATAAGAACATTAAAATAAATCTTCAAATTACATTTGTTATTAATTATAAAATAAATTGATTGAATTATTAGAGAAGTATCAATCAATTCAGTTTCAATGTTTTTAAAACAAAAGTCTTTAATAAAGGAAAAATATATGATTATCGAAAATAAATAAGAAAATATAGTATGTTGAATAAAAGATATTCTCCTTTTTCTCAACCACTTATTCAGTTTTTTTTTTAATAAATTGTGATTTAATTATTGTTTATGACTTCATCTAATTATATAAACATCTCTTTTTGTTTTAAAGTAATTATGTCATTTATAACTTGATAGAGTGTTATGTTAGTGTTGAATAATCTTAAGATTATATAATCTTTAACCCATTTGTTTTGAAATTCGGTCACAATTTACTATTTTTGTTTTTTAACTTTTTCAAATTCTAATTTATTTTTATATAATCTTTAATTTATTTTCTTAAACGTTACATTTATAAATATATATCATTAGACTATAATATAAATAATTTTTATATTTCATGAATCCTTATAAAACAGTTTTATTTTTAACATAAAAATACTTCATATTTCACCATAAAATTGCAGTAATAATATCGTCTATAATCATGAGTTTAATATGAATATATATTGAGAAATTAATATGACAATTTACACATTTAGAATATATTTCATTTTAAAATATAAAAAAAATTAATAATTGATATAAAAATTTTAAATTGAAACATAATATATTTAAAGATTATTGTAGGTAAAATTTATTTTTAAAAAATAAGTAGTCAAATAATTATTATATCTTTATCTCTAATATTGTTGGAGTACATTTTGCTTTGGAAATATATTGTAGAAACAGTATAAATGAGAGTATTAAAAAATTTGACATTTAAGTTTTATATATAAGTTAATGACTTCTTACTCATTAATCCACTTTATGCAAAATATATTGTATTTTTGCTCACGTTTTATTTTGGCGTTGTTTCTGTAGACCATCTATCTATCTTCTTTGTTTATTGGTTTTAAGTTCCCCTCGATGTCACATCTTGTGCTATCTAAATATCTTTGTTACATATTTTGTTGGGTTGTTTCAGATCTCTATTATTAATATACTATTTTTTCATTAACACAGAGATGATGTCGTGTGTCCGTACCTTTCTCCCGCTCAGGGGGAACTGTCGCAACTGCGAAAAACACCCGGCAAAAACAGAAGAGTCGCCACCTTTCGTTATTTATCCCAAAGAGAGGGAAAAGAAACGATCGGAAAAACCTGACGAAAAAGGGAAAAGACGAGGTCATCGCAACCCAGTCCTGGATTCGGGAGTCGGTTACGCAAGGGGAAGGTATTAGCATCACTCACGTCCGTCGTACTCGACGGGATCCATGCTTGTTGTCTATCTAAGGGAGT